AAGGAGTTCTTTCTAAACAATTGCTCTTTGAGCGTCTCATTAGAACGAATCACTTCAAAGTCCAGAAACGGTAACCGCTCACCTTCATCTACTTCAATTGCGAATTGTATTTTTTTGCATCAATCTGGTTTACAAACTTCAGCAACTCTTCCAGTTTCCCATTTTATGTGATTAAAGTGTGAAGCAATCGTTCAGCTACCGCATGAGCACTGCCGGTTGTAGCGGTGTCATCTTTAACTTGTCTTCTATTTTGTTTATGTATACGTTGGCCAAAATCGGTGAAAGCGACGATTCCAGAGATTGTTGTCCTTATTGTCAAGTTGATTAGTTTTGTTAACGATTCCCTCCTCATCTGCTGTGATTTCAGGATCTCCTCCTCTCGGTCCAGGATTTTCAGCAGGACCGTTAGTGCATTTTCTTCAGATTCCACATCGAAACATACCAATAAGTTCGTTTCTTCCAGTGCCATGTTTTTGATTTTTTTAAGAAAATTCATATGAATATTTCACCTTGTTTGATGGCCTCTCATTTAATTTTTTGAGTTGCAAAACATATAAACTTTTCTCATTTGTGTGTTACTCCATACTTGTTGTCGACCAGCAGCCTTAGTGGCTCGCCTTCCTTCTGTATCTTCCGTAATCCGTATGCTGTTGGTGGTCGTGCATCCTTTCTTATGATTGAATTTCTTGTCCATGTGTCAATCTCCCCATTGCTGTGCATATCTTTCAGAATGGTATTTAAGATTCCAATGATCTTCATAGTTGGTTCCTTGTTTAGCATTCGATATGTGGTCCTGTCTCTGTATATTGTTTTTTGTCAAAATCTTTGCAATTAGTTCCATTTCCATTTCCCGTTTTGTCTCCTCAAAGAACTTGTCGGCAATATTAATAACCTACGCGCCAAGATGTCTCCTCGAAGGCTTCTGTGATTTTGAATTAAAGAATTAAATCATTTTTTCAGGAACGCGGTTGTTTCGGGATTGACAGGAATTGATGATAAGTTTACTAACTTCTTCCCATCCTCGGAAGCCACTTAAACTGGGCGTACTGGCTTTCATTTACACCATCTCATAATACCAATCTTTCGCAATTTATCGTTCTGCCGTTTTGTTTTCAAATCAGACATCCTACGTGATTTCCTGTCAGTCATGCTATGGAGTATTTGATAAATCACATCTAAATTTAAACAACTTATTCCGATCTCTATCATATGCCTGACATAATTTCTGAAGAGAAGCCTGGTGAAGATACTCACTAACCTTTTCCGAGTGGTAGGGTCCCTTAAGGTCACAGAATTTGGGAGTAATACAATAACGTTAACAACAGTTTAACAAAAAAGTCAGATGAGAAGACCATACCAGAGGCCACAATATCTTGGTCTTCATAGCTTCAGGGCATTTGACATTCTCGAAACCTTACTTATAGACGAAAAATATTCTTTACTTTATATTTGTGTATATGCGTTTATGTATGCAGACATGCATGATAGTTTGTCTGTATCTATTTTTGTATATATGCGTGGATTTCCTCTTAATTTACTGTCAACTTGAATGTTTCCGTAGCATAAATACAAGTTCTGCGTTTATCCCTCACATAAAAGACGGAATCTCGGCCCACTTCAACCCGGAAGGTGGAGCGATTTCTCGTGGAATACGTTAAACTGAACGGCTGTACAAAAACAGGCATCATGTGTAACCTTCGGGTTACATCGAGCTATGAATCTCTTTATCTTGCACTTTCATACGAGAAGAAAGTCTCCACACCAACCAAGAATGGTAGTCTAGTCAGATTAAACCTTGTTTCTTTTCATATAATGAAAGACTTGTCCACTTGTCAGGATATTTATCAACATTTTTGTACTCATGTGAGTGTTTATAAACATATAGACATGCATATGCGGATGGTATAAAGTAATCCAAAGTAATCGAAAGACGAGAACTTGTTTGCACAATCCAACCGTCTACACTCCGCGGCAGTCAATCCTTCTTCCGTTTTCAATGCTACCAATTTAGGGATTCACTCCAGCAACATATTCCTTTGCACTCAACATTCCGAATTAAAGGAAACATAGAAATTGTCATTTGCACCAGCCAACCCGGCCTAATTAAGAGATCATCATAACGAAAGAAATTCACAATTTTGTCTCGTCAGAAAACTTTTATGCATTTTTCGTTTATACGTAGACCTTCGAGTAAAATGTTGCCATAATGCACTAAAGTCCACATAGCTTTGCTTTCCCACACAGAAGTTTGGAGCTCACCTAAATTGGTCTCATCAGCACCCCAGCGGGACTCGAACCATGACTGTTTCAGGCTACCAAGAGAGGCAATATCACACTTATGGCGACAATTGTCTGCGAACCGAAATTGCATTTGCTAGATCAATCGTCTATACTACTTATGGTTCGTTAATATATGAAATTTATTCAACCTATTTAATTTAAGATGATATGTCTCGTCTGTGATTCACATCTTTCCTGCCAGGCATGGGCATTCGTGTCGATATGACTTAATGAATAAAGATTTCGAGATTGTACGCTACAGTTCCATGCTTCGAGTCCCGTTGTGGGTGTCGATGAGACTGTAGTTCACCTCAATTAGCCAGTTTATGTGAAATAGAATAGAAGCATCATTGTGGGAAAATCCAATTACCAGTCCCCTCATCACTCCAACCCAAATAGGTCATATAGACCTTTCTGTACTCCCACAACATTCCATTTTGTGTTGGTCCACTGTGAGACTAATTGACCCATTCATTGCCTTGAAAGTGAAAAATCGCAACCCCAACATTTCGTCGTTATTTATAGTCGTGTCAAGTTAGTTCAATCCACAAGTCCCGGTAACCATGGCTGCTGAGGGAGGAGGGAAAATGGACCAGTACTAATATACCCCCCCCCACTCACCCCTTCCTCCCCCCAACCCCCACATGTTGTGTGTCGTTATGGCCAGTTGTTGCGGGCGTATCAGTTAAACTGATGCCGTACATGTCGCGGGGCTTGAAGAGGAGCCCGAGTCCAAAGTCCCCATGTAGGCTGGCGATGTTGGCGACAGGACAAAGGGTTGAAGCCCAGTCCAGGGTTGGTAGACTGTGCCTGGGCCGAGTTGCTGGCCTGGGCTGACGTCTGACCGGTACAGGGAGGCTGTTGCTGGCAGAATCCGGACAGGACTCAAATTGCGCGTCTACCGCTGCCTCGACAATAGTTTTCTTCGGTCCTCTCGGATCGTGTGAATTGTCGTAGACGGACGCAAAAGCAGGAGCGACCAGATGATCTGTCCTTTGTTGGAGGATCAAGACAGAATGTACGTACATTCTGGCAAATGGAAGAATGTCATATTCTCTGCTTTGTTGATGTGTAAGTGTCTGGTGGGGCAGTGTGATGTACGGAAGTTGAAGAGAAAAAATATAGACTCTTGCTTCATAGAACCACTTTTGGTGTTTGTCAGGAGGAAAAATTTGACTTTCAATTTTGTTGTATTTTTCTCGAAACTATGCAATGCATGAATTTGTTGCTCAGCTGCTGGAAAAGTTAGCTTTTAGACGGTAACATCTAGTCTGTTGAGAATGTGTTGTAGCCGTTGAATGGGCATAATTTGTTAACAGATTTTCGCAACTACCAGCAGATCATTTCTGTGAAATGTATTCACCCTATTTCGTCTATGGTAGCTCAATTTTCCCATCATCAGATGACATGCAATTGTGTGTTGCTTTGCTTTCACAAAAGTTGTTGTTCTCATTCAGCATCGAATTGACTCCAGTTTCGACCTTGCCCAAGCTTGTCGCATCCACCAGTCCCAGTGGGATTCGAACCCGAACCGTAGTGGGACAACGCATAATCTCGAAATGTCAAGGAAGGTCAAGCATTTCTCCATATCACACTCTGTGTTGAAATTGTCGGTAAAGCAAAGTCATATTTGCCATATCAATCGACTATTGTATGCATGATTTCGTTGGCAAACCGGTTTTTGGCGTTACCAGAAGAGCATATGCATGAAATGTACTCCCTCAAGTTAAGTGACGTGAGGATGATGTAAAAGTAAATACATCTTTTTATTATGATCTAGTGATATAAGATGTATTCACCCAATTTCGTTTAAGGTAATGAAGGACTTGTAGAGGAAGAATTTTCCCACAATGATATGAACAAAGCTGACGTTTCCATTCAATTTCACATAGCCTTGCTTTCTCAAAAGTTGCTCTCATCCAGGTGGGATTGTCGATGGAGCAAACGTATTTTTGCTATAACAATCGACAACATTATTTTATTTTTCCCATTTAAGTATTATTTCGAGACTACCAGTAAATCAGTAGTATGAGATGTATTCACCCAATTTCGTTTAAGGTGATGAAACTGGTAGAAAAATGTTCCCACAATGATATGAGTAGAGCTCATATGTGAGATTGAATAAAAACGTCAGCTTTACTCATATCATTGTGGGAAAATTCTTCTACCAGCCCGTGATCACCTAAACGAAATTGGTTGAATACATCTCATACTACTGATTTACTATAGCAAATATACTTTGTGGGATAAGAACAACTAGTTGGAAACAAAGGCCATGTGTAATTGATAGGAAACATCAGCTCTTCTCACATGATTGTGGGAAAATTCGACTACCACTCCTTCATCACCTTAAACTGTATTGGGTGAATACATCTCATACTACTGATATACTGGTAGTCTCGAAACAATACTTAAATGCGAAAAATAAAATAACGTAGTCGATTTTTATAGCAAAAATACGTTTGCTTCATAGACAATCCCACCTGGATGAGAACATTACATTTCATATAACTTTGCACTTCGTCTGAAGAGGCGAGTGGAAGGCATTCGTAAAGCTGAAAGCGGAATTGCCTTGGAGCTGTGATTGTACATTTTTGTACCTTACTATGATCCCAATTAATATTTGCTGGAGTTTCGTCCGTACTGTGAAGGATAGCGTCAGAGTAGGACATGTAAGTTTAAGATAATTAACCAGAACACGAATACAATCTTATTCACTTCTTATGACCGAAATGATTTATCTTTCATACATGTTTGTTAAAATTTCAAGGGCCTAACGACGCATGATTGCAT